TGTTTCCTAGGGAGAAAAGATCCATTTATGGAGTGCATAGGAGTTGCAAGTACCTGGACGGACTCCTGCAGCACTCTGCCAGCCAAAATGGGGCATGCCCCCCCCCCCCCCGCAAGGTCCCCCATGCCCCATTTTGTCTGGCAGAGTGCTGCAGGAGGCAGCACTTTCTTCATCTTGTCTTTAGCAGCATCTTCCAAATAGAACTAGGTATCCTCCAAGATCTGGATGGCTGTTGTTCGGAAGAGCCAAAAACATCTGGCTCTTCATCTAGGTCTTTGATGAGAGAGAGTGAGCCCCCTTGTATCGTTGAGTTTGTCATCTTTTATCTTAATCTTTTACCTATGATTGATTTAATTGTAAATCTTTTTATTGTTGTGAGCCACCCTGGGTCATTGAGAATTGGATGGTATATCAATTTTGTAAATTAGTACTAATATTAAGTTCTTCTCTAGGACTCTGTTAGAGGTAGTAACAATGTTTGATAGACTGTTGGACAGACAGTTTTTAGACACACCTGGATAAACTGTCAATCTGTTTATGCTCTGCTTCTATACAAGAGTCAAGCCCCATAGCAGCTGGCGACTGTACGTGCCTTTAATGACTACATTATGGAATTGAGACTGTACCCGAAAGTAAATCTCCCCTTTTCTGGAATAGTTTTGAATGCAAAGGGAAAAATGCATCTTGAGCCTTTGTCAAACACCCACTATGGCCACGATCACCACAGCCACACCCACACTACACACCTCGCCCCGGGCCCTTCAAGATGAAACACAACTCTGATGCAACCCTTGATGAAATGGAGTTTGACACCCCTACTGCCATTGTGGTCAGTAGCTCATACCCTACTGACCACAGTGGCAGTGGCCTGTAAATGGAGAATAATTTATTTATTTCTTTGTCTAATCTTAATCTAATTTCTAATCTTAGTGATTTTCTTCTGCATTTATTCCCAGGTTATGTATCATAGGGCTGTTGGTGTCTGGAGGAATTGTATTGTGTCTTAATGATGCATTGCAAGGTTGTCCTTTTTTATGTTCACAAAACATGATCCAGATGCACAAGGGGTAAGACTTGCATCATAAAATAGTACCATTTTTATTATTCTGTCCATTTTGTGCCTGCCCCATGCAGGCTGTATTGTCTGTCTGATTGTAATTAACTAGAAACTGCATAGGTTTTGCCTATTCCTGAATGTATTTCCTTAAATAGATCTTACTTCTGCCAGAAGTAAAAGAATTTTAGCTAGAAGCTAAATAGACCTTACTCCTGATTCATTAATCCTTGCTCAAGCTAGATTCTCACTCTCAGAAAAGGTCAGCCATATATAAATATACTTTCTCTAACAGATGTGGGAGATCAAATGTTATCCTCACACACACACACACACACACACACACACACACACACACACATGTATATGTAATACATACTATGGCAACTTTGTAATTATACTTATTTTTTCTTCTATTTAATTAATTATAATGCTTTATTTAATTAATACATAAATATTTCCATATATGTCTGCAATTAAGAGATAGTTTAATTTTAGTTTGGTGCCAGGATTTCCATTCATTACAGCTGTTCTTTTTAATACTTTATAAATTAAATTCTAACTTTTAAATACCAGTTGTTTCATCCATATACTTAAGCGAATAATAAAAATTGTTCTATATAAATGGAGTGCAACAATTTTCCAATGCCAACAAAGTGAATTGAACTTGTCAGCACACTATAGAAAAGAAAACTTCGAAATACATTTAGTATAAATATTTATCAGCTCTATTTTAAGAATTGGAAAATACTTTATGTAATATATATTACATAGTATATATTATATAATATTATATAATATCTATTGCTGGATTAGAAGCATTTACTATAAAGTAGGATTATTGTTAAAAATGTTACATTATTATTTCTCTACTCCTGTATAGCAGGCACTCAGTTCTTATTGCATGCTTTTAATGTGTATCTGTCCAGATAACTACAGTTTGCTACTAATTTCTTTTACTTTGAAGTACCACATTTCACATCAGCAAACTTGGCTATAATATGTATCACTGTAATGCTGGGTCTACTGCTATTCTTTATTTTTGGTAGAAATATTTATAAAAACTGACATGTTTTACATCAGGACCAATGGTGATTCAAAAATTTTTATTACCGTTCTGTGGGTGCGGCTTGGTGGGTGTGGTGTGGCGTGGCATGACTTGGTGGGTGTGACAGGGGAAGGATACTGTAAAATCTCCATTCCCACCCCACTCCAGGGGAAGGTTACTACAAAATCCCATTCCCTCCCCACTCCACTAACCTGCTTTCCAGCTCTGTTCTCCTGTGCAGGGCAACAAAAGAATACCCAGGCGATCAGCTGGGATTTGGGAGGCAGAGAATAGATGGGGGTGGGACCATTCAGTGGTGGTATTTGCCGGTTCTCCGAACTACTCAAAATTTCCGCTACTGCTTCTCCAGAACTGGTCAGAACCTACTGAATACCACTGCTGATCAGGACCCACATATGTTTGGGAAAGGTGTTTCAACAAATTTAGAAAGGCTAAGCTGGATTTGTATACTACACAAAATATACAATGGGCAGTAGTTACAAAACATGTATTAGAGAAGACGTTAAATTGCATAAAAATATGGAACAGATCAGTCTGAGATTGGTTTGCTTAGAAATTAGATAAAAAGAAGTAGTATAGATCACAAATAAGAAATGATACAGAGTGACTTTTCGGTTATTTTCATAATCCTAAATAAAAGGCAATTGCAAGGATATCCATCCTACAAGGATATTCTAGCTTGCTACCATGCTCAAGCTGAAGAAATCGCTATAAAACAGTGAAAAGCAAATGATGGCATTAGGCTACAAACGGCCCTAACCCTTTTTTAAAAATCTCCATAACCTTTTCTGACAAGACCAATGATTGTGGGCTCAACTGGTAAAAATGATCAACATGATTTCCCACTATTTTCAGTTAGGAAACATATGGTAATTTTTGCATAAACTTTAAAATAAGTTTATCCCCTCTTCCTCAAACAAAAACAATTGGGGAAAAAACAAAAGGAAAATCCCAGTGTATGATCAGCCTACCACTCTGTATTATCTTCTCTGTTATGGCTGTCAGGTGCTCTTCAAACACCAGCAAGAATATCCTTCCCTATAATGGATGCAATAGATACAGTATGAATTATGTAAAAGTTGCTAACCTTCACATCTGGTACTGTTCCCAAGATTAAGCCAGCTAATGAATAATTTGAATTAGGATGAATGAATTCTCCTATAGAGTGTCCAATTTTGGCATCTAGTTGAAATATGTGATTTTATCACTTCACACCAGAAGATAGCAAGATGTAGGTGTCTTTTTGTCTATGGTTGTTATAATTATTGTAAAAGATATCCAACTCTTGCCAAATGTTGCATTTCTTTTAAATAAAAAATAAAAATTAGGAAATTTATATATATTAGTGTAACATATCAGTCAAATTCATATATCTGTATTATTATGTAGGTCATCCTACATAAAACCCTTTTTTATCTACGTCACCCTACGTTTTATATGCAACAGCTAAAAAGGTGTGGGTCTTTAATTGCGTGGCTCTTGCCACATTCTTTTTCATTCCCACCTCAGCTATCAAGCATCCTTGGTTTTATCTCTTCAATCTGAAACTCAAGCAAAATGAAATTTGCATTTGAAGAATAATTGCAATAAGTAATAGCTATCAAAATAATAATTTTCAATATATTTATTTTATCAATATTTTCAAGTATTAACTTGTGTAGCATATTAATAACTGTAGAAAAAATTCATTCTTGTTGGTATAGCTATACTAATTTAAAAACTGTATAGGAATTCAATTGCATAAAAAAATCAAAAAGTATTTTTCCCTGTTAACTCTTGAAAACATAATTGTTTTAAGAAAATATAGACAAAAATAATTAGAACCTGTCTCAATTTCAGTGTCTGGAATGATTGTTTAGGTAATGTTCTGTTTTCATTAGATGATATTTTAAATTAGAAGTGAATGCAAATATTTGACCTTCCAATGATTTTGGTAGTTTGATATTCTAAAACTAAAAAAATGCTATACTTTTACTTTTATTCCCAGGATGGTAAATGCTGAGTTTTGAAGGTTAACAGTATAATTACAAACAGTTTTTAAAAAGTAATCAACATGCTTTATTATTTGAAATTTCAAAATGTGTAATCATATTCTCATATTGTTCCTATTTCAAAGGCCATTACAGATGGTACTATCAGATTCAGTATAATTATACAAGCATTTGGTGTATGCTAAGAACATTAAAGAATTGGAAGGAAATTTATACAACTACAAAGACAGATAACTGTTAACTATACTGCAATATCAGCAGTGATAGGAAGCAAAGTTTCCTTGAAATTTATAGTATGCCTTTTATACCTGAAAAGGTGCCCCTTCTGTGGTCTATAGTTTGAAGAACCACATGTAAATCTGCACTGGTTTAATTTGGTACAGGACAGAATCTATGTATAAAAAACTGTGAGGGATAGACACTGGATTCAAACAGATTGTTGAGTAACCAGTTTTTATCAATTTTAGCATTAAAATGTATTTGACATGACTCAGAGCTATCAATTCCTTAATTATCAAGAATTACTTTTGAAGCAATGCAGCAATTTTTGTCTGAGCAGAATTTGGCCTGTTTTTTTATTTTTGACTGCTCAATTCAGTGGTGTTTGTAGGCAACATCAAGAAAGACAGTGGTTGTGCCTTTGTGATTGAAACCCACCTCTTTTGTATGTGTGCCAATATCTGGTACATGAAGAAAGGGATGGGGTTTTCACCATGATTCTGTGGCTGCCATCTTGACCCCCCCCTTGCAATTGTCACTGTATTATTTACTATTATTTCTATGAAATTTTGTTGTTTATCAATATCCAGAACTAATACAGTTCCCATATAAAATTTCTTGTTGTGTAAAAATATTTGCCACCATGAACCACGCAGCTGCTTGGTTCTATTGATTTTATTGTAGTGAACAAGCAAAATGTAGAGAAGGTCTATACCCCTTAAAACACACCGTACATACATATAAGAACCTAGCTAATCTCTAAGTCATGCAGTCCTACTGAAAGTTTCAGTATGTGCATCTTCATTACCAACTTCAGCACCTAAATGCAGAAAACATTGCTGAAGTATTATTGCCTTTTAAAAGTGATAAATTGCAATGCTAGATGGTATTTTTGCTTTGTAGTATTTTGTTGCAGTTTTCTTATTTTGATTTCAAACATCCTTTTTGTTTTATCTCAAATTCATTTTATAATTTGTAGCAGATTAAGATATGTTAGAATAGGCAAATCTGAACGTACTTTTTTCCTAGGCCTCCCTCCACATCTCCCTTAACTAAATATAGTATGCTATATTAAGTAATATGCCTCCTAGTAATTTAAATTACTGTAAGCGTGTAACTTCAAAAATATTGTTAACATACATATACATTACATTTTATGTAAACCAACAGTATATTAACAGATACAGTTGGTAGAATTGATTTCCTTTTCTCTTTCAATCCCCTAAGACAATATTGGATATTGTCCTTCATCTTACATGTTCAAAGATTAAAGCCTATATTAAAATTTTCAAATATATTATTTTAAAAAGTCAATGGAATTTGGAAATTACTACATTACTACAATCTATAAAACTTACATCCTCACTGTAGATAACCATACATTTACTCAGTATTTACTAAATTTAAAAGATTTAGTAAAGCTAAAAATATGCCAAAGGTATAAAGGTAAAGAAATGTCCAGATAATAATGTGTGCACTACTATTTTATAAACATTTTTCAGAAAGATTTCCAGTTTTTAAAAATGCAATGCCATATCTAATTAGCAATAATAATTAATTACAGTATTTGTTTAATATAAATATATATGTACATGTTTTTGTGTGGCTTTACATCTATATCTAGACTAGATATTAATATTTACTATAGAATCTAAGCATGTTTCGTGCACTAATCTTTTAACAAATGTTAGAAATTGTGAAAGCTGTAAATACTGTCTGTATTATTGCAGTATAAATCCCAACTATTTCAAATAATTAAAGCAGTATTTGGAATGCTCTTTTCCGATTCCCCAGTTATTTTTGATTTTAATATAGATAGACTTTGTATCCTTTCCTTAGACATTCTAAATTGCTCTCTGTCTAAAATATATTCTATTATAAAAAATAGACTCTCTGGTATTAAGAAATCTGTAAAAACTAAGATTTCTAATAAGCCTGAGTATTCAACAGGCCATTCCAAAAATCAAGAATGTGCTGAAGAACTGTGCATTGTCATCTTAGTCGAAGTACTTGGAAAAATGTTTACATTTTGCATAAACCATATCTTTTGCATAAACCACATCATAACTATATTGCATATACCTACTGCCAAAGACATACACTAGAGTTCTATTGCTTGATGATTCTTTGTAAGCTACATAGAAGATCTGAATGATTTCTGTTTCCTGTGTGTTTCCTTTTGTCTTGTGTTTTATCCAGTGTTTCCCTTTATCATTGGGAAAATAACAGCTAAAGTCAAGACATTTAGACCTTATTAGAAAATCTGCCAATGTAGTCAAAATTACACGTGCTCATCTTCTGGCTGAATGATTTCTTGCTCCCCAAGGATAGTATTGATACCTAAAAAGATTTAAGAGCTTTAATGGAATAAAAAAATAATAATAGCATTTTCATCTTGAGTTAGCCTAAATCTCTGCTACTAAACTGGAATATATTAGAGATGCATCAACATAGGCAGATAGGTCAGTTTATGATCTTCTCATCTGAGATATAATAGCACTGTCCAGCTTGTTGAAAATTAGTAGAAAATGTAGTATTAGTAAAAAGCACAGACAGAATGGTTTTGCAAGACATTCAACATCTGTTTTGTTACAGATATATACAAGCAACTTTTTCTAAACAAAAGCTTAAGAATTAGACACCCAAAGATGCTTTTTCTATCCCAGAAGTGTGAGTCATGAGCTATCTGATATATGTAAAATAAAGCAAGACAGATATTCAGCTTTACTATGTAAAATGACAATTTGATTACTAGACATTCTGTTTTTTATATTTTAGTTTCATTGATTGGGGAGAAAAGATAGGTAATTCTAAATTCTAAAAACCCAAATTCCCTAAAGTATATCAATTCCAAACAGATTGTCTCATGCATAGCACCTGCAGTTAAAAAGTTAATTTTGGTTGACAAAAATGGTCTCTGGTCTTTGCGATCTTCTGCCAGGCAGAATTCACAATTCCACGTTAATTGGATCAATAGTCTTGATTCTATATCTAGAGTTTTGATCATTCACTGTGACTCGTTTTAATATGGTCAATTAATAAGGTTTTCTGATTAATTTCTAGCATACATTAATCCTAATGGGAAGTCAGCAGTTGGACTAGTTATCAGGGATGGGTAGAGAAGAATAGCACTTACTGAAATCAGAATAATGGGTTCATGCCAGATTTTTCCAAACAGTTTCATTTTATATCCTTTTGCTTTATTTTATTAGTTTTATTTGGGCAAACTCTTTCAAATATTCCAACTAGTTAATGTATTTTTCAGAAAGTTTTGTTTTTGTTTAAAAAGACTTTTTACTAATAAAAGTATTTTTACTGATTTTATTTTTAAAAAATCCAAAATTTGGCTTTACAGAGAAAGAAGAAACGAGAGGAAAGTACAGTGAAGTATTGTGCTATTTTCCTATGGAATTATAATCCAAATCTTACATATCAGTTTTACCTACCCACTTACCTGCATTCAATTAAATGATGCTTTCTATTAAGCTTAATAAGGGGGTACAATGGCTCAATGGTTAAAGATAATGAGCTTGTCAGCTGGAAAGCTGATGGTCTGAATTCGAGACCTCAGTTCTGCACACTGGGGTTACTTCTGTTACTTGCCCCAGTTCCTGCCCACCTAACAGTTTGAAAGCATGGAAATGCAATAGATTAATAGGTACCACTTTGGTGGGAAGGTAACAGCAATCTGTGGGCCTTAAGCATATAGCCATACTGACCACATGAACATGGAAATTGTCTTTGGACTATGCTGGCTCCCTCAGCTAAGAAAGGGAGCTAAGCACCATACCCTAGAGTCAGACGTGATTGACAAGGAAACCTTTACCTTGTTCAGCTTAATATGATCTGTCATTAGAAAAAGAATTAATATTTGCATTTAATAACTTCATCACACTTTAACATTTCCTTTTGAAATGAAACTCACCTGCTTGAGGTAAAATTGTAATATCCACATTCCTCCAGAACCTCTTCAACTACAGTCTAAGAATGAAGCATATAAGTTTCATGATAAATTTTTCAAAAGACCTAAAAATTGCTTACAATTCCAAAAACAAAGTCTAACCTGCATTTGTTCATATGTCATTCCTTCATCCAAAAGACCTAAAAATTGCTTACAATTCCAAAAACAAAGTCTAACCTGCATTTGTTCATATGTCATTCCTTCATCCATGTCAAAAGTGCCAAGTAGACCTATCAGTATATAAATGAGATAAAGTTGGATAATTGAACAGATATTTGTGTAAATGTATATGAGAACATTTTTTCAGCAAAAAAGCTTGCTTAAAATAGAATATTATGGAAATAATAAAACATAGGATGTTATAAACTGAGCTGTTTTTAGATATAGATCTTCTCTAGGATTAAGAGGTCCAAATATATATTCATTTCAATAGCACTAGTTTAGATGTTTTGAATACTTCCTTTCATTTTAATTAATAGCAATTGTTGTTATTAGAACAGTTGTGTGTCTTCTCCCAGGGTGGTTGTTTGATCTCTTTTTGTAGTTACAAAAGTGTTAAAAAATAAAAATATTAGCTTAATCCTTATATTCACTGGCTTGAAGAGGTATGATGGAGCAAAGATAGCTTCATTAGAAAACAGTGTGTTGAAAGAATAGTAGATTGAAGATAGCTCTGCAAAGAGCAGAGATGACAACCATAGCAAAGAACAAAGAGATTCCAAATAGGCCATTCACAAGTTCCAGGTAGTTGTTCCTTGTGAGGAGAATGCAAGACAGCAGTCTCTGATGTGTTTAGAACCTTGAGAGATGAGGGAGTAGCCATCTTGTTCAAACCACAAAGCCATTAAAATGACACTGGGTTTGCATACTTTCTTTTCTAATCACTTTTGGAAATTGCTTTGGATTGACAATTCTGAAAACACCAGGTGAATTTCCTTCAATCATTAGCAAAAGAAGTTTTAAATACAAATTTAAGGATGTAGAAATATATATACTGTTGAAATAAGGGTCATTAAAACAAAAGGGTGATTAAAACTTTAGAAAGTTACAAACAGATTAAAGATTTAGATAATCTAAATTTGAAGGATATCAAAAAAAAAATTCTAAACTGGTAGGGGTCTGGTATATTCCATTCACCAGTTAATGGTGCCCTCAGCTTAGGTTTCAGCATTGTTTCAAATCTTAATGATTTAATTAATCCAAATTTAGTTCAATTTATGGGAGCAAAGTCAGATATTCAAATAGATTCAAGTGGATAGTCCAGCATTTTATGCCATTCCAAAACAATGCCATCCCAATTTAAGAGTCTATGTTTTATAAGGTCTTTAGCTTCTCTCCCATTAGTTCCTCTTTCGGGTCTTGGATTTTTGTCCCTATGGTAATTTGCCACTTTTAAAAATAGTTCTAAAATTCTTTTTTCCTGGATTTTCCTTTTTTTTTCTTTAAAGTTAGAGTCTAGATAAAAAAATAATCCTCTTACCCAGTTCCAACTTTCTGCACCACTCCTGCACATTTCTTACTTGCCTTAGCTATCCCAGCTTCGTTGCAACCATGATGGCTGCCTCTTCTCATCGAGGGAGAGGGAAGAAGCCCTGAGTCTAGCAGAAGAGTTGCTGCTCTCTGCGAACTGCAGAGTGCCCCTCTTTTTTTCATCACCCCTACAGGGTGGCTTTAGCTCCTTTTGGAACCCTCCAACAGGGAGAACTTGGCGTGGCAGCTTGGAGACCTGTTCCTCACGTCCAACAGCGCTGCAATATCAGCTGGAAGTCTACTAACAAGGCTTTCCTGAAGCCTCTATAGCTGATATGGAAGTCTACTAACAAGGCTTTCCTGAAGCCTCTATAGCTGATAGGAGAGCTCCAGATTGATCCGGAGTTCTGTTATCAGCTAGAGACCTTCAGGAAAGCCTTGCCGGCTGCAGCAGAAGAAATGGCCCAAGGTGTTCAAGGCCTGGCTACAACTGTCCGAAGGTAAGTAGTAGGGCAGGTCCATTCCCCCACCCCCATCCTAGCTTAATTTTTACCTGGAGTGGACGGGGTCTTAATTAGGGCTTATTTTGAGGGTAGGACTTATATTGGGCTCATTTGTGTAAAAAATCTAGCACCCTGGAGTGGACGGGGTCTTAATTAGGGCTTATTTTGGGGGTAGGACTTATATTGGGCTCATGTGTAAAAATCTAGCTGTCAGATCCTTGTATCTGTCATTTCTTCAGTGGAAGAAGAAAAGGGGGGGGAGGTTGATAAAGAAATCCTTTCTTGATGTAACCTGAATATATTTAATCATATCGAATTTGTATAATCCACACATGATATGATGGAGGGAGAAAAGCCAGATGGCCATAATTATCACCTCTGAGAGGCACAACCAGGAGATGAGAAGGTCATAAAAATTCCACAGTGAGATTGTACTTTGGGAATCTCTTGAATAGTTCGTTCTAAAAAGGGGGTGGGGGGAAATTAGGTATGCCCTGGGAAACTGTGAAAAGATTGTTCCTTACAAGAAGGGTGGGGATGAATTAACATACTGGCTTTTGTTTCACTAAATACACATCGAGATAAGGGGAGGGGTTCTAAACTCCCTTATGTATCCCTGTATGCCTGAGAGACCTCAGACGCTGCTTTGAACTCCTACAGGAATTGTCTCATCTCAATAAAGAATTCCTTTGTGATACATTTGGATACGTTTTCAGAAGTTCATTCTAGTTGAGTGAATGGGAAAAGTTCTGTAGCCTGACACTAGCTAGGACGTACTTTCTGAGTAGGTTGTATTTTCGGGGAAACAAGGTATATGTTTTACAATGCCCCCAAAAGGAGATATAAAAGAGATATGGGACTCAAATGGGTTTAATATTAAAGTCTTCTTGAAAATTGTTGAAAAGAAATGTTTGGCAGCTTACAAGTTTTAAATGGAAAATTAGATAAAAGGTTTGTGAATTTGTCACAATTCAAATTCAAATCTAAAGCAGACATCCAACAATAGATAAATCAGCTGTGCAATTGGATGGATTGGAATTCATGATTAACAAATTTGTTTGAAACCTGAGGTTGGAGGCTAAGGGGTGGTGGTATTAAAGAACAGGATTTTCTTAGGAAAGTTCATGAAGTCAGTGGAATGGAACCATCACGTTTAACTAAAAGATAGCTATCAAGATACATGTGTTGCAATTTGCAGGAAAATTTACTGAATAAGAAGTGTTATGAAGATATTTTCAATAGAGACCTATATTTTCTGGGAGTGAGAAGCAGCTGCTTGGAAAGATTCCATTTATAATTTTAAAGAAAAGAAAAGATGATAAACTGGAAAGAGTTGTTTTTGTTATCAAGGATCAATCAATGGTATTTAATCCTGGATGGATCAGAAACAATGGCTGCAGTGAGTTTATAAGAAATGAGAGACTATTTCTGCAAGTTAAATATAGTAATTGTTAACAGAAGGCTTTGAAGTTTAGCTTTGATGTTGGGACTACCTGTATATTTTTTTATATAATGGATATGTGATACGTCAAATTGGTTGATTGATAATAGATTTAATATTTGAGATATTAATATTATATAGCAATTCTTCAAATGTAAATGCAGAAGTTCATAAATTGTGGACCTGTTTTGCAAGGGTGGGGAGAACAACTACTAGTATTATTGCTGAAATATATTTATCAGTATTCAACCAGAGAGGACATTTTATGTGTGTTTAATATTTTGTTCTATAAGCTTATTTTTTGTCTTTGTTTTTATCTTGTATTTTTTTCTTTTTCTTATTTGATTCTGTATTTTAAATTTAAAAAGAGAAAAAATGGAATTAGTGCTGCTGACAAAATATAACACACATATATGTGCTTTATTTCAAATTAGATGATTTAAAATGGGATATTACTACCAGACCTTTGATGATTATGGCCAACTACAGCTGCTATATAAGGGGTAGGGGGAAAAATACTGCCTTGGTTCACAGAAGACACTTGAACCCTGTTGGTCTAAATGAGCTTTTATTAATAATTATCCACATTTGCTGGATATTATCAATGTAAATAACTACTAAGCAATGTGGTTTTTTACTAGACTTACCAGGTCTGTCATCTAGGACTAAAGTACTGCCACTTGAAGAGTGAAGCAACAAATGGCAATCTGAAGTCAAAAAATTAGGTTCAATCAATTCTGGGGAACCTTGAAGTACCTAAAAAAAGATCAAACACAAATAAAAACTTTATTTTCTTCATTTCATAAATGTTTTACTAGACAATAATTAGCACTAGAGATCTGTTCTAAAATGGAAGTCAGGTTGCACATACATAATAAAAATAATTTTAATTCTATCATAGACATGATATGTTTTAATTCTAAGCATAACACAATTCTGCTGAATGACCAACAACATAAATTCCATACAGGTTAGATACTAGATTAGTGGAATGGCTGCTCTTCCATCTGATTTAGGAAGAGTGACTGTTTTAACAACATTTCTCTTTATGAGATTTTAACAAGAGCCACAAATATCCCCCTCATCTAATATAACTGTAAATTCTCCTTTGCACAGATCCTTGCAAAATCATGGTGTTCTGTTTCTCAAAAGCAACACCTTTCACTAATAAAAGAGAATCCAAAGATCAACTAACATCAAAATTTTAAAATCTCTTTGGAGTTTACTTTCTATAAACTTTTTGTTAAAGTTTGAAAATTTGCAAAACCACACATCTGGTTTTATTTTCTGAGTGAGTCCTCTTTCAATTGATTAAGACAAAAATATGTGCCTAAAGTTTTGTTAACAATTTTCTTTTTGGAATATAAAACAAAACTTTGATTACAGTGTTGATTTTAAAAGTTTTAAATGAATTAAAAGTTCAAATAGATTTAATTAAGGGAAAATTCAGAGATTAATTAAAATAATCTTTTCTCATTGGAAAATTCCTCTTGTTTATACTTGACTTTGAAGTATGCTAAAAGGCATCAGATGGTTACATTAAAAGAAATGATGGATAAGTGAGTACAGGAGTTTTCAAGCTATTTAATTCTGTAATGGATTAGAAGGTATTAATGAAGAAGAAAAAGCCTTAATGAATAAAACCAAAATGCATTTATAGTTGGATTTAAAAATTGCAGCCTATAAGAAAGAGATGGAAATAATAGATTTACAAATGAAATCAGATGATTTAAACATTTAAAAAGATATATGACTAAATTAGAAGAGCAATGGATTATTTTCACGTATCATATATGCAAAAGGGATTGACTAGAGTGGCCACACAGGAATTACAAAAGGGTCTAGATAATGAAGACATCAATTTTAAGAAAAGAGATAAAGAGAGTATGAGGAAGCAGAGGTTAGAACAAGAATTTAAATGGCTTCCGGGTTGAGCCCTCCTTGCTGACAGATGGTAGATTGCGATTGTCTGTGGCTACGGCCCATGTTCTCTCATCGGAGAGCCCCAATCATTGTGATTAGGGGCTGAAGCTGCCTCAGAGGGATGGTGGAGAAAGGGGAAGCCGCCAGCCAGGTTGAGGGGAGCCGCATCTCTCCCCCTGGGCTTGGCAATTTCTCCCCTGAAGGTGACTAAAGCGGTGGTCTAAAATGGCCACCCCAAAGAGGAGGACTCAGCTGGACTAAGTTTGTGCAGGAGTGAAGAAAGAGGTGGATAGCATGTGAGCCGGGACAATTGGGTGCAACAACCAAATAAAAGGTACCCCAGGATTAATGTAACAATGAATTTTTAAAAAAGAAAAGAAAGCGGCAGAAATACAAAGGGAAGGGGGAAAAAAGAAAAATAACTTTGACAGCTAAATGGGGCTTCGAATTGGGAAAGGAAAAGGCTGGAACAAGATACTTAACTAAATTGGATTAAAATATTTTGGCAACAAACAGGCATCAGTTAAAGCTGGACTTAAGAGTGTCAAAAAAATAAAAATAAGGGGGGTGCAAATATACAAACTGGAGACTCAATTGTATTGGAATATTGAGACTCAAAAAGCCCTGAATAATAAAACAGGGAGAAAAGGTGAAACTTTGCATAACAGAGAGTGCCATCTTGTGGACAAAAATTTAAATTTAAATATAAAAGGAAAAAGATCCTGTTTCTTTATGAACTTGAGTTGATACTATGTAAAAGAAATATTGAAACAATAAAACAAGAACCCTAGAAAGTGAAAGCTGAACTAGAATAAAAGAAGAAGTAAGAAAAGATAGACTATAGGACTAATTGGTGATTTTGGTATAGACCCATTGTTGGAATAATTGTGAATCTAGAAAGCCTTAAGAAGAAAGAAGGAAAATAAAAGTTTTTGTGGATTTCAACGATTATAAGATATAAGAGTGTGCAATGATGATATATCTTCTCTTTTCTATCTAAAAATGGAACTTAAAAATATAAAAGAATTACTATAGGAAAGAGGTGAATCACTTGGCTCTGGTTTAAAAGCTATGGAAATGGTGATTGAAGAACATGAAGAAAGAATTTCAGAGAAGGAGGAGTTAGTTCAAGGAGCAGCCATCTTAAATAGACAATTAACATAAAGAACACCACAAAGAAGAGGGAAAAGAAGGGGGGTTAAAAATTTGAGATTCAAGAAGGTAACTAAAAAGGGGAATACCTGTGAAATTAGGCAAGGCAGAAAGGAGCAGCAGAAAAGGGGAAAGGAAGATATAAAGAGGGAGAGGGACACAAATTGGAAGGAAAAAGATATGGGAAAATGAAGGGGAAGAGAGGTAATGAGAAACAGGAGCAGGAAATAAAGAAATATGGGAATTACAAAATAATGAAAAGAAACTGTTTATGTAGAAGACATAGAGATAATGGTTAATAAATTTTTAAAAAAGGGGGATTCCTCATGGAGATGAGGGGTAATAGGATGTATTTGCAATTACAAAATATTTAGAAAATAGAGAAATATAGATTATCAAAAGGAGGGATGGACACTGATATTCTTTACTAGTGAATGTATATCTTTATTCTTATATTTAAAAGAAATGTTAATGTTTATTAAATAAATTGAAATAATTGAAATGAACTGTGAGGATGTTTAAAAATGAGATTAATATCAGTGACCAGGATTAGTTAAATGGACTGATTGTTTTTTTTTTCTTATCTTTGTTTTGAAACTATAAATAAATTCCATGAAATTAAAGGGGAAAAATACATTGCGGAATCTTACTGAAAAGATATATGTTATGTAGTTTTTTAGGGAATGACTATTATTATAATTAGTTAAAAATAAATGTTTATTGGGAATTAAGATGAGGGAATTAAGGTATATTTTAACCACTGAGGTGACACACTCAAATTAGTAAAAGGGGGGAGGAACTTACATTTTTTTTCTCTTGAGTAAAAGCTTTTATTAATTTAGAACTTATGGAAAGAATATTTATTTGTTTGTTTGTTTGTTTGTTTTGTCAATCGCTTACAAGATAATAGGTATAAGGATAAACATAGTTATGAATACATGAAATGAATACATATCAGAAAAATAAAAGAAACAATAGGACAGGGATGGTAGGCACGTTGGTGCGCTTATGCATGCCCCCTAAAGACCTCTTAGGAAAGGGGTGAGGTCAATAGTAGAAAGTCTAAAGTCACAGTTTTTGGGGTTTAGGGAAGAAACCACAGAGTCAGGTAGAGTATTCCAGACATTGACCACTCTGTTGCTGAAGTTGTATTTCCTGCAATCAAGTTTGGTGCGGTTAACCCTGAGTTTGTATCTATTGTGTGCTCTTGTATTGTTATGGTTGAAGCTGAAGTATTCATTGACCGGTAGGACATTGCAATGTATGATTTTATATACTATACTTAGATCGGACCAAAGATTGCATAGTTCTAGGTTTTCTAGGTCTAGAATTTCAAGTCTGGTGGCATAAAGTAATCTGCCACGAGTAGAGAAGTGTAGAACTCTTCTTGTGAAATATTTCTGGACTTTCTCAACTGTGTTAATAATGAGGGTTCCAGACTGATGAGCTGTATTCAAGTATTGGTCTGGCAAATGTTTTGTATGCCCTAGTTAGTAGTATGATATTACCAGAGAAAAAGCTACATAGGATTAGGTTAACAACTCTTAATGCCTTTTTGGCTATGTAGTTACAGTGGGCTCTAGCACTTAGATCATTAGAGATGAGTATTCCAAGGTCCTTGACGGAGTTTGGGTCATCAACAAGGTCTTGACTATTGACTAGGAGGGCGGAGCTGGCGTTGCAACGATACGGCATGTGATCTTGGAGGTCTGAGATTGCTGCCGATATCTTTGCTCCTGGACGGTCCAAACGGATCTAAACCGTCCCGAAGAGACAATGAATGTAAAGAGTGCATCTTTTCGATCCCAGGGACACCGCAAAGTCCCTGGTTGATCCAGGAGTAGCTCTTTTTGCCAGCAGCAAGGAGGCAGCCATTAAAGCTGCTGAAGTTGGGACAGCTCCGAAACGAAAGAGAACGGAAAGAGAAAGTGTGCCGGTTTGGTGAGAATTTTTTCTTTATTTTAAGATTTGAAAGGACACCCTAAGGAAAAGAAAGAATCTGTAAAAGTTTTGACAGAAGTGATTAAGCGGCAATTTTAAACAGGAAGTCAAAGTAATTTTTTTTTTATTTTTTTTCTCATTGCTGGATTTTTTTACACATGATTTTAGATTTTGAAAATGGACTGCTTTCCCCCCCCCTCTTCTTCCACCTATTCTTTCTTTCCTTTTTGACTTTATAATATTTTAGGCTACAGACTCCCTGCTAGTCATCTTTTTAAATATCTTTTTCCCTTTTTAATTAATTTTTATTATATCTTGTTTGGAAAAGGAGGGGGAAAGTGAAAGCAGAAGAAACTTTGTAACACTGCCAACTAGAGGCTTGGAAATATTCTATCTCTTTTTCTTACTTTAACAAACCCCCTCCTTACTAGCTTACTTTTTGGAATAGCTATTTGGATCTTTGGCCTTTTGGAACTTGTTTTTGTTTTTGAAGTCTAATTTTTACGTTTGCATTCTATTTTAAAGGAAAAGCTTTAGTATTAATGATTTCCTTCCTTTTTCTTTTCTTTTTTTAAGGGAGTAGTCTCTTTTCTTTTTTCTCTCTCCCTCCCTTGTATTTTTTTTTCTATTTACCTTCCATATTGGTGTTTTTTTGTGGCTTTCTTTCTTTTTTTTTTTTTTGTTATGCATCCTTTTATACCTGAGACTTTTTAATTGGATTAAGGTGTTGAAGAACCTGA